ATGTATACTAGAAAAAGGCATTTCCTTTAGTACAAGTTTATTTTAGGGGTACCAAAACTCTCGATGACTAGGACCACATAAAGGATGACATGTGTTAATTTTGTCAAAACTTGTATTTTTTAAGAATGTTTTAATATTTGCTATTTAACCTTCATGATTTATATCCTTTTAAATAATAGTCTCCGGTCTATTTAAATATGTTTTATCTTCTTCATTTCCCTACCTTTTCATTTTCATTTTTCAATCTTCTCTTTGGCGCATCTCTGGCTCCGGTGCTCTCCGTACCAAAAAGCTTCATCAAAGACGGTAACTTTCCCATGTACTCTCCGTTCTTACCCTTTTCATTTTCATTTTTCCTCTTCTCTCAGGCGCATCTTCTTGCAAGCACCTCTGATTTTTTGTTGTTTTTTGTTTTCGATGACCTCCCATTCTCTGTTCTCCGGTACTCCAAAACCTATTCCCCCTACCAAAAGGAGATACCGTCTTACTAATAACTTAAAAGAAAGGGCTTTTTTCATTCGTCAAGCTTTCGAGCAACTCTTTCAACTGCCGCCTAATCTCCTCTCCCAACATGCTCAAGAACCGAGAGCCACCCAGGGACTGCCGGAGGGAGCTTGCTTATAAAAAGAAGATAGGCCGGTCAAAACAACGCGCAACGAGCTCTCCACTCACTAAGTAGTGCTTTTCTGTCCTCCGGGGGACTCCACCAACACACACCAAGAGGTTCTTTCTCTCAAGTAATTTCGCCCGCCCATTCCACTTCCGTGCCGGAGGAAATGGGATTCGAACCCATGATACAATCTTCTTGTATGTCGATTTAGCAAACCAATGCCTTAAGCCACTCAGCCATACCTCCAAGTTGTTGATCGGAATTGGATGTGCGGTTGGTTGCCCGAACTCCGATCAATTGCGTAAGCCGTAGCGCGCTAACGCGCGTACTCTTCTTCTATGAGCGAGACTCCATCCAAATCTGCCACTCGTTGGGCGACGCCGTCTTTTCTATGAACACCCCACCACTGAATGATGAACTTTGCCAGTCTTCGACTCCGACCCAACCGGGAGAGAACACAGAGTCAAGCCAATATTAAATAAACTGGGGACTATTATTTAAAAAGATATAATTAACGAGGGTTAAATAGCAAATATTAAAACATTCTTAAAAAAAACAAGTTCTGACAAAATTAATGCATGTCATCCTTTATGTGGTCCTAGTCACAGAGGGTTTTGGTACCCCCTAAAATAAACTTGCACCAAAGGAAATGCCCTAGAAAAATTGTTTATACCAATCATAGACCATGTGAGACGCATCTTAGGCTCTTGATAAGATAAGCTAAACTCCTAGTCAATTAGATTTAACTTTTTAGGGAGCTTTTAATGTTACGCTGGTGTATGGTAAAGTTGTTAATTTTAGAATTCTCCCGATATTTCTTCTCTTTAACTACCTTGTCATATTTTATGTCAATAATGTACATGTTAATTTATGTTTTGATTGTAACGTGCAAGAAAAATGAAAATCTAAGAAATGATAAGTGGGATGTGGAGGGAAATTTAGTTACACCACAAGGTCACGTGGCATGCGATATGCAAGGAAAGGGGTGAAGGAAAAACATGAGGCGTAAGAGAGAATGTATTTTTGCAGGACTACGTGCTCTCGGGCGGGGTACGTGTGTAGTATGTTTCTCTTTGAAAATTTCCTCTGTTCTGCTTCTCCCGGGCCATTTCCTTCTGTATCTTCTCTTTCTGAATTCTTTTCTATTATTGAATCAGGTTATATGATTCCGGCAATGGTCTTCCGGGTTGTGGTTGCTAGTCCTTGTTAAATTCCTATTTTATTCTGTATTTAGACCTTAGTTTCTTGGGTTCCATTTATATGCCTTCCATACTTATAATCAGTCACATTATACTCTTCTTATCAATATTATCAAAAACAAACTCCTGTGGTTTAATTGTTTCCAGTTACATTTGTTTCATTGGTGCTTTCATTGACGCCATGGCTGAGAACACATGTTTGAAGGACTTATGGGTAGAAGTATGTGGTCATTTCGAGGAACTTCGCAAATTAATGGATCTCTTGGAACTTCGTGATCGTGAACAACTTCTTATTCATACTCAACAAGTTTAGGCAGATGCTCAAGCTTAAGCTTGTATGGATCAATTCCAACAATCCTTAGATTTATTAGTGCAATCGCAATCTTAGTTCCATGGTGCCTCTTCGGGTGCAAATCCACTATCAGTCAAGGACATATCCTTGGGATTTCCACATTTTGATGGATAATCTTCGATGTTAGAGTGGATCTTTAAAGCAGAAAAATTCTTTAACTATCACCATACTACAAAAAAAAAAGGCATGTAGTGACCACCAAAATCAGTCGCTATATTGCTCAAATAAGTTGTTATTTACCTTAGTGACCGAATTTAAGTAATTGCAAAAACTTGGTTGCAAAGGCATCACAGGTCGTTGTTTAGCGACCAGAATTTTTGGACGCAAAATGGTCGCTATCATTTTGGTTTCTCTTGTATATAGGGACCAAATTGATGACAAAATAAGGCGTTGCTAAATCAGTCGCTAAGTATGTTTTTATTTTTTAATAAAATAAAAATGATTTTCAGTTTAGTTGCTAAATATTTGTTTCTTATTTTATTAAATTTTATAGGCATCGCAAATTCAGTCGCTATTCGCACCACTAAATTATTATTGGCATATTTTTTAGTCAATGTGAGTTATATTCTGTCGCAAATTCAGTCACTATAAGTTTTATTCCGTCACAAATTCATTCGCTAAGTTTGTTTTATTTTTAGAGAGAAAAATCGGTCGCTAAATTTATACCTGAAGCATTATTTATTTGGTTTTATTTTAATTTTCATTTTGAACCTGTTTAATAGTAAAAAATAATAACACTAAAATTTATAATGCATATATAGTACTTATATCACAATAAAAGTAATTAACATATATAATGTATGATATAATCTTCAAAATCACAACTAATAAAAAGAATCCAAAATAAAAATGACAAGTCTTCTAAACCACAACTAATATAAAGCATCCAAAATAAAAGTATATGACATATTACTAATAGTAAAAATCAAAACAAGTCTTCAAAACCACAGCTAACTAAAAGCATCTAAAATGAAGTATATAACATATAACTAATAGTAAAAACTAAAACAAGTATATGATATCATAAAAGATAAATACACGTGCAATCAACAATCTTTCGGTGTATCATCAACATGTTCATCTTGCTCATCCTCAACATGGTGTCTGGGATCATCTAAAGTGGTAGTCAATATACTAGGCCCTGACATAAGAGAATTAATCTAAAAGTGTCGTAAGATTAATTGCATCTGCTCATCTTGTTGACGCATACGCTCACTTTGCTATCTCATGTGCTCAATCTGCAAGTCATGATTTTTCATTAATTGTTGCATATTTTGCTCAAGCATCCTCTCCTTATCATCCTTTACTAGAAGCTAGCATTCAATTTTTCAATTGTTTGACGCATTTCCTCTATTGCCTCTACCACTAGAGGTTGACTTAAAGTAGATTGAACACGTGTTGACTGACTAAACTTTTTGCTCAAAGTACCAAGTCCATACACATGTACTTTGTCATTCTGACCTCCTACAACACCTAAACATATTTCATTTTCATTAACGGAGGCAAGAGAATCTTGTATAGATTTTCCTTCCCCAGTACACTACAGGACCTCATCTCGACCTTATTTTATATCTTTCCTGCAAAATAAATTAAAACGTCATATTTTTACAATTAATATATAAAGATAAACTTCAAAATATATTTAGAAAAGTTGAAAGGTAAAACTTACAGCAAGGTATCGGGTGCTGGAAACACTCAAATCGTGACAGTGCACTTCCAACACCCATCGTTCAAGGATTTGCGAGTCGTTTGAAGAAATTGTTGTGGTGGAAACACTCGTAACTACAACCTGGTTCCATCGTGACAACATGCCTCCACCGTAACAGCAACTTGCCTCCGTCATGATAGCAACTTGCCTTCGTCGTGGTAGTAACTTGAATCCACCGTGGTTTCTCCGTGGCACTAGGAACCCTCTCTTTTGGAAAAATCCAACATTCTTGTATGTGTTTATATTTGAAAGTTCTTGAATGTTGCTGAAACCTGGTTTTATTGTCATATTAATGATGTTACCATTTGAAAGGATTAGCCTTTAAAATAGTTTTTGGATTTAACTTGCAATTTCATGGTATTTTGGATATAATGTCAAAAGAGGTAAACTGGTTATTTATGAGATATTGAGCCAAATTGATTATTTTGTGGCATTTACTTTCCTAGTTATATTCATGAGATACTTGAGCCAAACTAATTTTTTCTCTTTGTGTGGTTCTCCATTCTCCTAATTAACTTCAAATAATTATATAATTTCAGGTTGAACCAAGTTATTTACAAGATTCGACTGTCCTTAATGTTGTAGTGAAGGTGAAGTTTAACTCATTTATATTCTTTGTTAAGCATTATTTTTATTTTTTCTCAAGCCTTTGGATTTGGAGGGACTAGATTTTGTTTTAACTAACATCATGCCCAATAATACACTTATATTAGTTTTGTCACTTGTTACATATCAATCAGATTTACTATTGACTTTCATACATACTTAAAGATACTACACTTATATTAGTTTATCATTAGTTACATATTAATCAAATTTACTATTTACATTCGTAAAGAATGAAGAATGATAGGAATGTCTAAGGTGTTGGTGTGGAAGTTGTTCTGCCACCAATAGGTAGAAAAGCTCCATACTCTTGTGTGCCTAGGGCTGTTGCTGTAGTTAGACTCTAGAGTTAAAGTTTTACCATCAATTATTTTGACAGAACCTGGTCAAGGACACTTGTATAGTAACCCACTTCCTACGATTCAAGAAGAAACAATTCCCACCTTTGTAGGGGAATCAATTCATAATATTCCTACTTCACAGGACACACCTTCAACACAAAAAGGTTCATTCACACCAGAATACCCACCTCCTACTCCCCCTATTGAGTTTGGGGATTCATCTGACCAGAGGGTTTGGTTGTCTTTGAAAGGCAAAGAGTAAGTACATTTTAATTTAACATTTGTTTTTTAAAATAAAATTATTTATATTTATTTTTAAAAATTATTTTTTTAATAGATTTGTTCCTTCAAAGGGCCCTGCTGATGTGATCTCAGGGATCTTCAAGCTAAAGTTTGAGGGAGCATGGCCTATTGTAAAGCTATAGCTGAATCGGTTCGAGACAGGTGGTTTGAAGAGTTTTAGGTAATTAACTGTGGTTTAATTTAAAATTTGTGTTGTGTTTAATGTATATCCTAATATTTTTCATGTAGAAAGAGTATAAGTGGGATCCACAACATGATCGAGCTATAAGAAAGGCCTTTGAGCATAAGGAATCATCTCTTTTGAAAAATATTATGCATAAGGTTAGACAAGGTGTAGATAAGGGGAGTTGGATCCCTAACAATTTTAGGGAAATTTTGGACCAACATTGGGCTTTTGTAAAGTTCCAAAACAAAAGCAACATTGCCAAGAAAAATCGAGCTGTTGAGAATGGAGCAACAACTTACACTGGCAGCTCCATATCTGCTGGAGCTCACTTTGAGAAGTTGGTAAGTTTACTATATTTTCATTTCTAATTTAATTTGTTTAAGTTTAATATAATTGATTGGTTTAAGAAGTATACTAATTGATATTTAAATTTTTAAAGACTAGGGAGCTTCGTCGACCCCCTACTACTTGAGAATTGGTGGAAAAGACAAAGAAGTTGAAGACCAGAGAATGGATGAGTGATAAAGTTTGCAAAATTGTTGTAAATTACTCTTTTTAAGAAAACCACTGTAGCACTGTTAAAATAAAAATAAAAAAACATTATTGGTTGGATTTGTGTGGATTTGTGTATTGTATATTGTACAATGAAAGTGTGTGAAAGAGAAAGATTGTAACAACATTACCAATTAACATGCATGATCCCATATAGTGATTGCCTTCATCACATTAGAAACAAATAGTATAGTAAAATAATGGATATATATTTTTAAATATCAAACTCAATTTTAGATTATTATAAATAAACATAAGAGAACTTTAATGTCTCAAGTACGTAGTTTAGTGCTTAGATATCAAACTTCTTATGCATTATAATTTGGTTTAAGAAAGCTAATGATGGTGTATATATAGTTACCTCCACTCTCTTGATGATTTTTAATTGGTTCAAATAGTTTGTGTATAATGTAATGATTGTCTTGTGAGATGCATATCCCTTTCTCTCTATGCTTTTTTTATTTGGTTCAATTAATTTGTGTATAATGTAATTATTGTCTTTTGGGGTGCATATGTGGTAAATGTTTGGTCAAATGAAAGTTCTCTATCATCAAGAATAGAATATTGATGTTGTTGATGGTCTATATGGTGATGCTCATATAAATATAACTAGTTTTGGAGTTCAAATAGGGTAAACAAAAAATATTTGTTTATATAGCTAATAATGGTGTATATATATTCGCCTCCACTCTCTTGATGATTTTTAGTTGGTTCAAATAGTTTGTGTGTAATGTCATGATTGTCTTGTGAGATGCATATCCCTTTCTCTTTATGCTTTTTCGAGTTGGTTCAATTAATTTGTGTATAATGTAATTACTATCTTGTGGGATACATATCTGGTAAATGTTAGATCAAATGAAAGTTCTCTATCAACAAGAATAGAATATTGATGTTGTTGATGGTCTATATGGTGATGCTCATATAAATATAGCTAGTTTTGGAGTTCAAATACGATATGTAACAGCCCAATTGGGCTGTTACAGGATAAACAAAAAATATTTGACTTTATTTGGTGCAGGAGAAATATAACCAACATTTAAATGAGATCAAGCAATAAGCCACATAGGAAGGCACACAGGGCTATGCTTCTACCTCTATCAGTGATAATGAAGTTTATTTGCAGGTTGTTAAGAAGGATGTGAAGGGAAACTTGCATGGGCTTGTTGGATTGGGTGATGACTTCATTCGCTCCACATGTCCCCAGTCTTCTATGTCACAATCATCACCAGTCACTGCAGGAGTGATAGAGGAAATGCAAAAAAAGATAGCTAAATTAAATGCTAAGCTTGCTACAAAGGAAGCAAAGGAAAAACAAATTGGAAGAGCATACACGACAACATGAAGAGCAGATGCAATATATTCTAAGACACCTTCAATCGATCCTTTAAGGCCAGCCTCTCCTTTAGCAAGTACTATTGCAGATGATCTTGAACACAATGTTGATGATGTTCTTGAGGATATAGCAGGAGACCCTTGATTATGCTCTTTTAATTTACTTGTTTTAGCTTTTGTGGTTGTATTTCAAATTTACTTTGTTGATGTTCTAACTTTTTACATTATCGTTGTGTATTTAGTATATCATATTTGACATGGTTATATTTTATTTAATATAAGTTTGCATTGATGAGATGTTATGGAAAAAAATTTAGTATGTTATTATTTAGTATTGTAAATTGTGAAATTAATATTTTAATAAATATTGTTATAATTATTTATAGGTCTAAAAGTATACTCCTAAATAAAAGAAAAGAAAGTTAGTAACAAATTTACAAATTAATTTGCTACCGAATTAGCGACCACTTTTAGCGACCGAATTAGATACCAATAAAATTAGTAACAAATTTACAAATTAATTTGCTACTGAATTAGCGACCACTTTTAGCGACCAAATTAGATACCGATATAATTAGTAACAAATTTATAAATTACTTTGCTACCAAATTAGCGACCATTTTTAGCGACAAAAATAGTGACAAAGTAAATTAGTAGCTAATTTAAAGACCGAATTAGCGACCGAATTTAATGATCATTTATTTTTTAAAAATATTTTTACTGACCGAAATTGCAACCAAAATTTTTGGTCGCCAATTTGATCACATAAGCTAGGCGATCAATACTATACCTGTAATGTAGTGAAGAGATTTTTGAGTTTAGTTGACTCTAGAGAGAGAAGACTATATAAGAGTTTCTCTGAGAAGGGAACTTCATAAGTGCATTCTCAAAGAAACAAGAGAGAAGTTTTAGAGAGAAGGACTCTGGGTCCGTGAGCTCCTTTCTCTCTCAAATTTCTCTGGTTGATTCTTCTTCTTCTCTAGATCACTAACTTCTTTTATTTTCTCTTGGAATTCAGGCTAGGAAGCTTGATTTTGAAGAATTGGAGTTCGGGAGTCGAGCTTGGAGAAAAGTTCTTCTTTTTCCCAAATTCTTGGCTGTTCGAAGCCACTCTTTAAGTAAGGGAAGCTAGTTTGTAGATTTGTTGGTTGTATGTGAGTTGAAAACTCATTTGGTGCATGAATGTTGAGAAATCAGTGGGTGGATTGATTAACATCTCATTTTTTGGGGTTTTGGAAAAAATGGGGTTTTTGATGCCTTGAGAAGTTGCATGTTCAACCTGAGGTTGTTTTTGAGTTGTATGAAGTCTATGCATTTTATTTCATGGATTGCATGTGGTTGAAGTTGCCGATTTTCAGGTTTTGAAGGAATTTTCAAGGTTTTGGGGGGTTTCTGGTTGAACATGCACCGGACATGCATTCATCCGGGGCCACTAGTATCAAATCACGCCGACCGCGAAGCTAGTCGCACCGGGCGTGGAGACTCTTGTGAGTCTCTGTTTGAGTTGGCGTCGGGTGTGATCTAAATGTGTCGGGTGTGAGTATGTTTGGTCTTTAAGTCTTCATGAAAGTTGTATCCTTGGATGTTAACTTTCCAATGGCGCTAGAATCACCCAAAAAGGAGGTCTAGAACTCCAGATATGGTTGTTTTAGTGAATAGGGGTCAAGCTGCCAGCATTGGTTATAGCTGTTGCGGTTTTTAGAAATTTTAACAAGGTAGCTGATGGAATTAGGAATTGGTGTCTCCATGAGAGTTGTAGGAAATCTTCTTATCTTTCATATGAGATAAAAATGAGCATGATAGGAGTAGTATAACTTCATATATGCTATTTTATGTGAAGGTTGTCATTTCACAATAAGTGATTTGGTTAAATTGAAAGTTGTTTTGGGTGCTTAGGTTGGTTGATGTTGTTTGGGCGTGTAAGTTGGAATGATAGATGGGTTATAAACATGTAGTATGAGTTGTGTTATGTGGTGTGTAAGTTGGCATGATAGATGGGTTGTAAACATGTAGTATGAGTTGTGTTATGTGTTGTATGTTGATAATATGTGATATGTTGTTAAAGTTGCTATATGTTGTGTATTTGGTGGAACTAAGTTGTTTTCATGTTGTTTATTGTTGAATTATTAATAAGTTGAGATGTATAAGTTGAAGTAGTTTATTGTTGTGAAGTTGTTAACTTGCATTGAGTTGATTTAAAGTTATCGGATGACTATTGTTGTAAAGCTGAATGAAGGGTGTCTATAGTTATGAAGTCGTAAAGTTTATATTGTGTTGACTATAGTTGCTCTAGTTGTTTAATTAAGTAGTATAAAGATGCATATTACTGTAAAGTTGAAAGTTGCCTTAAAGTTGTTGAAGTTGAGATTGATGACTATAGTTTCTTATTGTTGTAAAGATGGTTATTGTGGTAAAGTTGTTATGATGCCTATAATTGTAAAGTAAAGTTGGGGACATATGGTGAAGATATATGTCCTATGTTGAGATACATAATACTAAGGTGATAAGTTGAAAGTTGTTTTAAAGTTGAATCCCTTAGTACTATGTGGGCGATATGAAAGTAGTCGATCCATGTTATGGTTGAATGACCAAATTGAGTAAGGTATCTAATTAGAGATGTAGTTTTTGACTAGGTACTAGAGGGTGCGTGGTACTTAGGGTAGTGGGTGGGCTAACTCCATATGTGAATTGGTTATGCAGACCAAGGCCGTGGTAAGTCCATACCCAAACCCTTCTACCCTGACTGTAGTACTGGACCTCCGACTCTAAGTGGCACACCCGAGTAATTGTATACTATTGTTTATACTTGGTTCTCTTTGAAGTTCCTAACGATGCCCTATACCTAACCTGGTTGAGATAGGTCAAACGTTGGATTCGGTAGGGTTTATGCCACTTGGATTGCTCAACCTCAATTGTTAGAGATCTCCTAGTTGTATATGCGTGACGATGCATTAGTTGATGTTGCATGTGTTGTTGCATTCAAGTTGCATATAGTGTATATGAATGAGTTGATAGTTGAATTATTGTGTTTTTAAAGTGTTGTTTGTTGTATGTTGAACAAATTGATGATGATGCTAGCGTCGCTAGATTACCTGTGTTGTAAGTTACTTTTAAACATGTTTTGTTGAGAGGTGTGTAATACACGTGTTGGTTATTGTTATGATGAATATGGTAACTATTCCAATGGTTGGTACAGTAGTTGTGTTGAAGTATTGATCAGTGTTGCATATTTAATTATTATGAGTTGTTTATTGTCTCTAGCTTACCCTTGCATGTTTCCATGTGATTTGGACTGCGATGATCATACGATGTATGGGAGCAAGGCAGGGATAGGCTGGGAGATAGCTGCTAGAGGCGACAGGAGGTGCCTAAAGTTAGATATTTTTTTAGGCTACTTTATAATAGCATATTTTGTTGTACATAGCTAGTTGTTGTTGGTTGCTTGATTAGCAACTTGTGTTGTAAATATTTTATTATACTATTTTAGTATATATATTCTAGTGGTGTGTAGTGTTGTTATGTAGTATGAAGGTCATGGCAGGTCGTTACAATACTGACGGGTATTTTTTTTATATAGCGACGCATATTTTCACTAATTAGCGACGGGGCAAAAATCGGTAGTTGTTATCAATAGCGACTAGGCTTTTAGTGACGGAATGTAGCAGTTGCTAATTCGGTCGCTGA